TGGTCAGTACTTACTGAGATACGAGGCTGCAAAGCTGGCACATAATGCTCACCTGACGGCAACATCGAGTCCTGCCGCTTGCAGAAGTGTTGCCGATATACCATTTTTTCTCATTTTTATATTATTTTATATAATTTTTATGTTCTGATAATTACAATTTATTGTAGTTCTTGTCATTTCATAACCAATCTTTGTTCTGACACTAATATTAGGTACTGAAATTGTACTCAAATTGTCACAAACACACTGACAGGTGGACATTTACACCTGTCTTGGTCATTTACTATTGTCTAGGAATATATACAAAGTATTTATAGGTCCCAGCAATGTTTTGGATACACAGGAGTATAGAAGAAGAAGAAGGAAGGAGGAGGAAGAAGAAGGAAGAAGTTCCCTTGAAGCAACGGTAAGACAAGTGTCACTGACAAGCATCCAGGAGGGCAGTGATAAGATGAGATAAGCGATGACATTTGATGGGCATTTGATGGGCAGAGATAAGATGAGATAGTTCAGAGATAAGATGAGATAAGGGATGACGTTTGATGGGCGCCAGCGAGGGTGCAGAGGTAAGGGGTGACATTTGATGAGCTGGTATCTCTGTCTCTGATTATCTGTCACTCTGTCTTGTCTCTCTCTTTCTGTCTCTCTGCTTGTCTCTCTCTCTCTCTCTGTCTCAGAGAGAGCCACTGTGAACCAACAGGTATTCTTATGCATTATATCTACAAGCACAGTATAGCACTTCAGATTTTTTGGTTATCCTAGGTAATTTACACTATGTATAATTGAGACAGATGAAAAGAGATAGTCAGATAGACAGAGACTGATAGACAAAGACAGACAGAGATAGACACAGATATACAGACAGAGATACAGAGAGACAGACAGACCCTAAACTTGGGGTTAACATCACTTTCCTCTTAAAAGGGGAGTGTTAATATGACATGACATCAGTGAATTTCTGTTGTTTGCTGCACTGTTTGCTCTAGCTGATGCTCAGTTTAACTGGCACTCACACAAGGTACTTAGTGCTCCCAGATTTTTTTTAATATGGTGCACACTTAGTGTTAAGGCCCATTCTATGCTGACCAGGCATCTCAGGCCAATCATGCCAAATTTGGAGGCAGGAAAAATAAAACATATATATACATTTGGGGCACTAGCAGTAAGAATGTATATATGTATATGTTTGGACCGTTTAGAGGTTAATATAGTTATCTAGAGAAAATATTAATAATTGTAATGAAGAGATGCAAATAGAGATAATGATACAAGACTGTAATGACAAAATTAGTTATAATAATTTTTGGTGGGCGTGAATACAGTGATGATGATAGCTACAGTATGAGCTGTATAATCCTTATGGGTCATAATACAGGGTGACCCAAAAGTCTGGACACAGGCAAAATTGCATTTTTGTAATAATTATACAGTAATTATCTCATAAATATGCTAGATAACAGGGATATCTTGCTACTCCTACTTACACTTTGGTCACACTTCACAGACACGCACATGCATATATATATACATACATCTAGGTTTTTCTCCTTTTTCTAAATAGCTCTTGTTCTTCTTTATTTCTTCTATTGTCCATGGGGAAGTGGAAAAGAATCTTTCCTCCGTAAGCCATGCGTGTCGTATGAGGCGACTAAAATGCCGGGAGCAATGGGCTAGTAACCCCTTCTCCTGTAGACATTTACTAAAAAAGAGAAGAAGAAAAACTTTATAAAACTGGGATGCTTAAATGTGCGTGGATGTAGTGCGGATGACAAGAAACAGATGATTGCTGATGTTATGAATGAAAAGAAGTTGGATGTCCTGGCCCTAAGCGAAACAAAGCTGAAGGGGGTAGGAGAGTTTCAGTGGGGGGAAATAAATGGGATTAAATCTGGAGTATCTGAGAGAGTTAGAGCAAAGGAAGGGGTAGCAGTAATGTTAAATGATCAGTTATGGAAGGAGAAAAGAGAATATGAATGTGTAAATTCAAGAATTATGTGGATTAAAGTAAAGGTTGGATGCGAGAAGTGGGTCATAATAAGCGTGTATGCACCTGGAGAAGAGAGGAATGCAGAGGAGAGAGAGAGATTTTGGGAGATGTTAAGTGAATGTATAGGAGCCTTTGAACCAAGTGAGAGAGTAATTGTGGTAGGGGACCTGAATGCTAAAGCAGGAGAAACTTTTAGAGAGGGTGTGGTAGGTAAGTTTGGGGTGCCAGGTGTAAATGATAATGGGAGCCCTTTGATTGAACTTTGTATATAAAGGGGTTTAGTTATAGGTAATACATATTTTAAGAAAAAGAGGATAAATAAGTATACAAGATATGATGTAGGGCGAAATGACAGTAGTTTGTTGGATTATCTATTGGTAGATAAAAGACTGTTGAGTAGACTTCAGGATGTACATGTTTATAGAGGGGCCACAGATATATCAGATCACTTTCTAGTTGTAGCTACACTGAGAGAAAAAGGTAGATGGGATACAAGGAGAATAGAAGCATCAGGGAAGAGAGAGGTGAAGGTTTATAAACTAAAAGAGGAGGCAGTTAGGGTAAGATATAAACAGCTATTGGAGGATAGATGGGCTAATGAGAGCATAGGCAATGGGGTCGAAGAGGTATGGGGTAGGTTTAAAAATGTAGTGTTCAGCAGAAGTTTGTGGTTACAGGAAAGTGGGTGCAGGAGGGAAGAGGAGCGATTGGTGGAATAATGATGTAAAGAGAGTAGTAAGGGAGAAAAAGTTAGCATATGAGAAGTTTTTACAAAGTAGAAGTGATGCAAGGAGGGAAGAGTATATGGAGAAAAAGAGAGAGGTTAAGAGAGTGGTGAAGCAATGTAAAAAGAGAGCAAATGAGAGAGTGGGTGAGATGTTATCAACAAATTTTGTTGAAAATAAGAAAAAGTTTTGGAGTGAGATTAACAAGTTAAGAAAGCCTAGAGAACAAATGGATTTGTCAGTTAGAATAGGAGAGGAGAGTTTATTAAATGGAGAGTTAGAGGTATTGGGAAGATGGAGGGAATATTTTGAGGAATTGTTAAATGTTGATGAAGATAGGGAAGCTGTGATTTCGTGTATAGGGCAAGGAGGAATAACATCTTGTAGGAGTGAGGAAGAGCCAGTTGTGAGTGTGGGGGAAGTTCGTGAGGCAGTAGGTAAAATGAAAGGGGGTAAGGCAGCCGGGGGTTGATGGGATAAAGATAGAAATGTTAAAAGCAGGTGGGGATATAGTTTTGGAGTGGTTGGTGCAATTATTTATAAATGTATGGAAGAGGGTAAGGTACCTAGGGATTGGCAGAGAGCATGCATAGTGCCTTTGTATAACGGCAAAGGGGATAAAAGAAGGGGTGCAAAAATTATAGGGGATAAGTCTGTTGAGTATACCTGGTAAAGTGTATGGTAGAGTTATAATTGAAAGAATTAAGAGTAAGACGGAGAATAGGATAGCAGATGAACAAGGAGGCTTTAGGAAAGGTAGGGGGTGTGTGGACCAGGTGTTTACAGTGAAACATGTAAGTGAACAGTATTTGGATAAGGCTAAAGAGGTCTTTGTGGCATTTATGGATTTGGAAAAGGGCGTTATGACAGGGTGGATAGGGGGCAATGTGGCAGATGTTGCAAGTGTATGGTGTAGGAGGTAGGTTACTGAAAGTAGTGAAGAGTTTTTACGAGGATAGTGAGGCTCAAGTTAGAGTATGTAGGAAAGAGGGAAATTTTTTTCCCAGTAAAAGTAGGCCTTAGACAAGGATGTGTGATGTCACCATGGTTGTTTAATATATTTATAGATGGGGTTGTAAGAGAAGTAAATGCGAGGGTCTTGGCAAGAGGCGTGGAGTTAAAAGATAAAGAATCACACACAAAGTGGGAGTTGTCACAGCTGCTCTTTGCTGATGACACTGTGCTCTTGGGAGATTCTGAAGAGAAGTTGCAGAGATTGGTGGATGAATTTGGTAGGGTGTGCAAAAGAAGAAAATTAAAGGTGAATACAGGAAAGAGTAAGGTTATGAGATAACAAAAAGATTAGGTGATGAAAGATTGGATATCAGATTGGAGGGAGAGAGTATGGGAGGAGGTGAACGTATTCAGATATTTGGGAGTGGACGTGTCAGCGGATGGGTCTATGAAAGATGAGGTGAATCATAGAATTGGTGAGGGAAAAAGAGTGAGTGGTGCACTTAGGAGTCTGTGGAGACAAAGAACTTTGTCCTTGGAGGCAAAGAGGGGAATGTATAGAGTATAGTTTTACCAACGCTCTTATATGGGTGTGAAGCATGGGTGATGAATGTTGCAGCGAGAAGAAGGCTGGAGGCAGTGGAGATGTCATGTCTGAGGGCAATGTGTGGTGTGAATATAATGCAGAGAATTCGTAGTTTGGAAGTTAGGAGGAGGTGCGGGATTACCAAAACTGTTGTCCAGAGGGCTGAGGAAGGGTTGTTGAGGTGGTTCGGACATGTAGAGAGAATGGAGCGAAACAGAATGACTTCAAGAGTGTATCAGTCTGTAGTGGAAGGAAGGCGGGGTAGGGGTCGGCCTAGGAAAGGTTGGAGGGAGGGGGTAAAGGAGGTTTTGTGTGCGAGGGGCTTGGACTTCCAGCAGGCATGCGTGAGCGTGTTTGATAGGAGTGAATGGAGACAAATGGTTTTTAATACTTGACGTGCTGTTGGAGTGTGAGCAAAGTAACATTTATGAAGGGGTTCAGGGAAACCGGCAGGCGGACTTGAGTCCTGGAGATGGGAAGTACAGTGCCTGCACTCTGAAGGAGGGGTGTTAATGTTGCAGTTTAAAAACTGTAGTGTAAAGCACCCTTCTGGCAAGACAGTGATGGAGTGAATGATGGTGAAAGTTTTTCTTTTTCGGGCCACCCTGCCTTGGTGGGAATCGGCCAGTGTGATGATAAAAAAAAAAAAAAAATGTATATATTATATATATATATATATATATATAATATATATATATAATATATATATATATATATATATATATATATATATATATATATACACACACATGAATAAAAGCAGCTTTCTAGTAACATATTATTCCTGTAAATCGAGGGGTTATTGTACAGTGCTATTTTAATGCAGTAGACCATTATATTGCACAGATTTTTTTGCCATGTTTTGGTTATTGCACTATTGAAAAATTGCGGCACAATTTCATACAACACTTCATAAAATTAACTTAACACGGTTCCATTTGCGGGTACGAAAAAAAATTCCCCAGCTCAAGCTGCCGCCTTGTTGTGGGTCAGTGGGGGAGACCTACTCCCATCCCCTGCCACCCCCAACACATCCACCACCCCTATCCCAGCCTTTGTGAATACGTATCCAGTATGAATGCTCCCTAGGAGCTAGCTGTGTTTGTGAATTGTGTTTTGATCTTTCAGTTGCCATATCTTGTATCTGCCAAGCAATCATGGCACCCAGTAGGCATATGAGTGTTGCTGAAAGTGACAAGAAAAGGTATAAGCATTTAAGTCTTAGAGTTACAAAGAAAATAGTGACATTAGACAAGAGAGAGCCTATGGCCTTAATGAAGCATCAGTTTGTACAATTAAAAATTACGAGGTAAATATATGAGTTTGTGTGATGAATAACTGATTGACTTGACTGACTGACTTGACTGATTTACTGGCTTGACTGATTTACTGACTTTACTGATTTACTGACTTGACTGACTGACTTGACTGACTGACTTGCTTGACAGACTTGCTTGACAGACTTGCTTGACAGACTGACTTGCTTGACAGACTGACTTGCTTGACAGACTGACTTGCTTGACAGACTGACTTGCTTGACAGACTGACTTGCTTGACAGACTGACTTGCTTGACAGACTGACTTGCTTGACAGACTGACTTGCTTGACTGACTTGCTTGACAGACTGACTTGCTTGACTGACTTGCTTGACTGACTTGCTTGACTGACTTGCTTGACTGACTTGCTTGACTGACTTGCTTGACTGACTTGCTTGACTGACTTGCTTGACTGACTTGCTTGACTGACTTGCTTGACTGACTTGCTTGACCGACTTGCTTGACCGACTTGCTTGACCGACTTGCTTGACCAACTTGCTTGACCGACTTGCTTGACTGACTTGCTTGACTGACTTGCTTGACTTTACTGACTGACTTGGCTGACTGACTTACTTGACTGACTTACTAACTTACTTGACTAACTGATGACTGATTGACTGACTTTAAGTTAGACTTTTTCACTGAAGAGGACCCAGACAAATCTAGAAGCAGTTATCTGAAATGGTGTCTAGAGTAGCTGATGCTTTACCGTCAGTTGTGTAATGTACTGCAGGGTAAAATAGAACAAAAAAAAAAAATTACAGAATTTATGCACACTCCAATACAACTATCAACTTCAGTACCAGAACCTCTACCATCCACCTCAGCCCAGTAGGGCCACAACATAACTCTCCACTCTCTACACAATCATCCACAAACACCAGCGCCCACAATTTAAGGTAAGAAATACTATTATTTCTGTTATATTTGTAGCCTTAAGCAGTAAAAACAACATAATACATCACAACAGTGAACAACAATTACATATTCACTTTTATTTTTGTAAGATCTGGAGGTCTAAAAAAAAGTTGTTTGGCTTTTTTGGGGCTCCCAGACATGCAACCCTATTTTTCCCATAAGTTCTTCAGTTTTTCTAACATGGATTTACCTAACACAGCATTTTCAGGAACGTAACTGCCGTGCAATATAACAGTCTACTGTAATTATTAAATGAATTTATTTTTTTCATCAAATTTTTGTGATTAGTAATTGTTGGAAAATGAATGAAGGTAATATTAAGCACAGTATGCTGTAGTACTGGGTATAGAGCCTTGGGATTTCTGTGGTATCAGAAAAAAATATTACTTTTAATTTTTTCATTGTCCAGCCAACTGCTTTGGTTCAACACTTGAAGACTCTTTGCACTGTTGCTTTATTAGCAAAGATGTAGTAAACTTTAGTCTCTTAAAAATATCTACATAGTAAACAGTGAAACATTACATGACCAAATTCAGTTTTTAGTATTACTTTTTTTAGTCATTTAAATTTCAGTGTTAAGAAGTCAGATCATAAAATAAAATTAGTGTGCGTGTCTTGGTTGTAAACTAGAGCACATCCTCCACATTAATAGTGTGTGAGGAACACATTGTTGGAAGAAATATGCTCCCAGTGGACTAGCATGTGTAACAATAATAATGAAATGGTATTATTAGTGCATGACTGCACTGCCTTCATGAAAACTTGAGAACATTTACTATTACTATAGTAAATATAAGCCAATGATATTTGGTATCTCAGGCTTGGAGGAGAAAACCAAAGCTACTGCAGCATCAGTGGTGGGCACCATGGCTGGCCTTAAGAACAGTTTATTATCTGGAGGCGGTGGTGGCGGTGGAGGTAGCAGTGGGGGAAAGATGGCAACAGCTGCAGGTGGTGGTGCAGGGGGTGTGATGGCAGCTGTGGCTGCTGCTGCTGCAGCTGCAGCTACTTCTGCTGCCCCTGCTGCACCACCTGCAACAACAAACCCTCCCACTTCTAACAAAGAGCATAGAACTGAGAGTAGTGCAGACTCTGTGCGTCCTGACCGCAAGTCCAGTAGCAGCCAGCTGAGCAGTACCCAGCTGTGCAGCAATCAACTAATTAGCGGTAAGTGGGTGTGATGCCGGCGTGATCCCGCACGCCCACACTACCCACAAGGGGCCACCACCCAACACGGTCATGCCCCATAACAGTCCATTAAAACTAACAGATCATGAGTGAAACATATCTACTACATAAAAGTTTTTGCCTGCTTGATGCTCACACAAGACTAGTCATTTCATATTCTGTAGTTACATAAACACGATTATCGCCTGTTATTTTCTATACAGTATTAGACAATGAGTGGTTTTTGACAGGGTAATTGCAGGTATTCTACTAACATGCGTGATTTTATTTTATTTAGTTATTGATTTTGACTAACTGAAAAGCATGTGTGTTATACAAGTTATTTATTATTGCACTGAACTAATGAATATCCTTGACAAATTTGAGATGGAGTTACAGTTTTATAAGCATGTAAAACATTCATTGACTTGAAAGTTTGTATGCATACATATTTCTACAGTGATTGTTTTTAATTATTATTTATCACGCATATTTAATCAGTTTTGATAAGAATTCGTATATGGATCATTATACATTATAAAGTTACTGCATGATCCAGCTGGCAAAAGAATGAACATTTCTTACAGTATTATTAAGTTGATTCTACAAAGAGACATAGTAGAAATGTGATCTATATATTATATCCAAAATTATTTAATTGCATGTTTTGCTATCGTTCATTGCAGTTATTTATTCTGAACTGCATAATTATTATCTGGTTTTGAATTCCATTGTTTATTTTATATCCAATATTGGAAAAGCTTAACTGTACTTTGAATTTCTGATAGCATTTGAAATGTAATGAACTCTGAAGATTTAAAACTTGCAAATAAAAACTGTTGATTCATATTAACACACATTATAAAAAATAGTGACTTAATGGTACAACTTGTTCAACATAATATACATCTGTCACTATTGAGATCTGTTTTTCGTCATACAGAAAAGAAAAAAAGTGTTCATACTAAATCACTCAGTCTGTCTATGGGATTCGAGGCATACAGCATCAAGAAACACCCCTTGAGGAGTGTGCCTTGATGCTGTTCAAGGGCTCTTGATCCAAAGAATCGGAATTGCCCTCTTCAGATTACCTCCTATTCGACAGGCACTATATTTACTCCTTAGATTCAGTGCTACCCTATCAATATAATTAAAATAATATATTTTTATAAGTTTGAAAAATAATGCAGAGTAGTGTATTCCAAGGTCACATACAGTAAGTAATTTAGCACATGTATAATATTCAGAAAAAATACTAAGAAGTAGGAATTTTTTAGCTTGTGAAAAATTAAAATCATTGCTATAGTTGGTTCTCAGTGCAGTGCTCTCAGCAAAGAAAGAAAAATAGAAAAGTTTGAGAATAACTTAAGGGAATATATTATAAGCTGGTGATAGTATTGTGAGTATTATGAATAATAGTGCTTCAAGAAGATGAGTGCAGTGGCAGTCAGAGTATCTCCACACTCATAGCATTAACCCTTTCGCTGTCAGTCCCGTAATATTACAGCTTGCAGGCCAGTGTCGGTCCTGTAATAGTACGCCAAAATTCTAGTGGCTTCAAATCTTGCGGGAGAAAGCTAATAGGCCTACATATGAGAGAATGAGTCTGAGTGGTCAGTGTGCACAGTATAAAAAAAAATCCTGCAGCATTCAGTGCATAATGGGAAAAAAACTCCGACCGTGTTTTTTGTTTAAAGCCGACTTTGCGGTGTATTTTCATGTAGTATTTATGGTTGTATTCTCGTTTTCTTGGCCTCATTTGATAGAATGGATGATATACTACCGAACTAGGATGATTTTGAATGGTTTACAGACTAAAAGTACCTTGAAATTGAGCTCAAATTAACAGAAATGTTCGATTTTTGCCAATGTTCAAGAGTAAACAAATCACGTCATGTATCCAATACACGTCAACTGGTGGGTCTGATATGCATTCATGAATGCGCTGATATTATTTATACCATTTTTACAATAATGCAGTAGTCTGAATGACAGTAAATCTTCTATGTTTTGTGTGAATAAAGGTTCAAAATGGAAAGCTAGTGTAATATAAGAGGGGCCTGGAGACATGACTGTTGAAGAGAGAAAATGTTATAGTAGTGCTAGGAATGTTTGCATTGTTAATTCTGGACCCTATTTTGAAATTGACCTTCCTTGAATTGTGTACAAAATTGGCCAAATTACCAATTTCTGATCACTTTATTGGGTAGTTGAAATAGGTAAATGGGCAGTTTCTTGTACTCAATCAATAGAACAAAAGGAGTTCTAGTGAAATAGCTATGAGTTTCATCGACTGGAATGATGTAATTGGCCGAAAATAGGTCTCGAAGTGGGCAAAATCACCAATGCATAAATATTACCAAGACCACTAACTTCACGAGAGCATAATTTCATAAGTTTTCCATCAAATTTTGTACTTTTGGTGTCATTACCATCGGGAAAAGATTATCCATCTTTTTTTTTTCCCCGATCATAATGACAGCAAAAGTATGAAATTTGATGGAAAACTTACTGAATTGTGCTCTCGCGAAGTTAGCGGTCTCAGCGATGTTTACACATCGGCGATTTTCGCCCACTTTGAGCCCCATTTTCACCCAATTCCATTGTACTAGTCGACAAAAAACATGAATATTTCGCTAGAACTCCATTTTTTCTATCGAATGAGTGCAAGAAACCACCCATTTACCAATTTCAACTATCCAGTACAGTGGTCAGAATTTAGCAATTTTGCCAATTTCACACAAACTTCAAAAGATGCCAATTTCCGAATAGGGTCCAGAATAAACAAGAAAGACATTCCTGGCACTAAAATGACATTTCCTTTGTTCATTAGTCACGTCTCAAGGCCCTCTTACATTCTTTTGCTTTCCACTTTGAATTTTTATTCTCACAAAAAATAGAAGATTTACTGTTATGCAGACTACTGCATTAGTGTAAAAAAATGGTATAAATAATATTGGCATATTTGCGAAAGAATATTAGACTCACCAGTTGACGTGTATTGGACGCTTGGCATGATTTGTTTACTTTTGAACTTTGGTAAAAATCGAACATTTCTGCTACTTTGAGCTCAATTTCAAGGTACTTTTCTTTGTAAAACCAGTCAAAATCATCTCAATTTCTGTAATATGTCTTTGCAAAGTTGCTGCTTTATTCCAAAAAAACGGTCAAAGATTTTTTTTTCTTGTTATGCACTGTGTGATGCAGGATTTTTTTTATACTGTGCACACTGACCACATAGACCCATTCTTTCATATGTAGACCTACCAGCTTTCTCCCACTAGATTTGAGGGCACTATAATTTAGGCATACTAGTACGTCAAAAACCCTGGGTCGTAAGCCGTACTAGTGCGGCCGAAACCCTCAAAGGGTTAAACAGTTTGAACATTGACAGTCCAGCTGTTTGATGAATGAGTTTCCAAAATCCGCTAATACCTTCAAAATTTCAGACATATCCTTAAGAAGGGGTGTACGTTGTTGCTGATTGTCCTTGCATTCCAAATTATAAAATTTATTTTTCACAATGGTAACCTAAACAAAGCGCCATCACTGGCTTTTGAGTTTTAGTACTCGCTGTTGGTTTGAGCCCCATCACTTCTGTGAAAAATGGACAAAATTTGAAATCAGTGGAATTGGCCTATTGATTCAGAAAACCACCAGACACTAAAAATATTATAAACTGTAAAACAGTACCATAATATACAGAAATTGTAAATAAAATGAAGTTGAAGGTACAGTAGACAACCACCTTTTGAGATACAAGGTGTTATCAAAAAGTTGCTGTACTCGAATCTTCATGTGCTTCCTGAGTGATACGTGGTGGTATAGATCACACTGCAGGGCACACCTTGGTGAAGTAACATGGCAAGTTTCAGTGTGGTCAGTCATTCTGTTGAAATTAGATGTACATTTTTTGTAGTGTTGTCAGTGTGTTGTGATTTTTTTCTGTAACAGAATAGAATCTTTGAAAGAATAATGTGAGTGTGAAATTCTGTTTCAAGCTTGGTAAAATGGCTAGTTAAACTCACAAATGCTTCAGCAAGCAATAGGCAGTGAAGCAGTAGGTCAGAGCACAGTGTTTTGAATGGTTTTCTCAATCCAAAGCAAGATGAACGAGGGTTTTAGGATGATGCTTGCTCTGGTCATCCATCAGTGTCAAAAACGGACACCAACATTGAAAAAGTGGGGCAGACTATTCATGAAGATCATTATTAGAGTATCTAGGACATTGCAAGTGTTCTGAGAATTTCTTGTGGATTGTGTCAAAGCATTTTGACTCAAAATTTGAACATGAGGTGAGTGACTGTGAAATTTGTGTCCTGCTTGCTGACTCAAGACCAAAAAGACCATCACTTGGATGTTTGTCAGAACCTCAAAAGACAGTTCAAGTATGGCCCAAAGATGACTGGCAATGAAACTTCAGTCTACAGCTATGCCCCAGTGGAAAAGTCCTAACTCACCCAGACCAAGGAAGGCATGCCAAGTCAAGAGCATGCTCATTTTTTTTTTTTTTTTTTTTTTTTGACTAAGTGGGAATTGTTCATCAGGAATTTGTTCCAGCAGGGCAGACAGTTAATCAAAAATTTCACATTGAGGTTCTGAAACATTTGAGGGAAGACATGAGAAGGAAATGTCTGATGTTGTGGGCTTCCCACAGTTGGTTCATTCACTATGCAGCACCACCAGCTGTCCAGCATTTTCTAGCCCAAGACAATATGGAAGTTATCCCCCACCTTCCCTACTCAAGGGACAGCACTTTAACAACATGGAGGAGAGTCAAGAGAATCATAGGCCTTGCTAGAGGCTGTTAGGAAAGAAGAGTTCCTGAAATGTTTCAAGAAGTGGCAGTGGTGCTGGGATCAGTGTGTAGAGTATTTTGTGGGAGACAACTTCTACTAGGTGATTAGGGAAGCATATATATATTCTTGTAGCAGTTTGGGAACTCACTGATAGCACCTCATAAGTTCCAGAGAAATGGAGCTGTATGTGAAAACACTAAA